GCCGTCGACCTGGATGGCGGTGGAGACTCCTCAGACCCCGCGGATGCGGAGAGCGGCGCCGGCGTGCTGCCCCCGGTCCTGTCCCCAGCCAGCCTGAGCATCTGTAGTGTCGTGGCTCTCTCCTTGTCCTCTCGGGCGTCAGAAGGTACTGGGGGCCGTGTGGGATGAGGGGCAGTGGGGTGGGATCCCATCTATCCCCCACTTATCCCTCCCTGGGGCTCTGTGCAGGCTGGGATGGGTTCCATCCTTGGTTGTGTAAGTTGTCCCTGTCCAGTGTGAGTTGGGATGAGCTCCAGCTCTTCCCTGGCAACTCCAGTTTGTCCCCAGATGCTCCAGCTCTTCCCTGCCCATTCCCAGTCCCTCCACTTGGCATTGCAGGAGGTATCCAGTCCACTCAGGTTCCTGTGGGCTTCTTGCATAGGGACAAACCTTGGACGTGTCTAATCCAGCTGAAATGAAGCTCCCCCCAAAAAGGGGGTGTTGGGTGTGCTGCTGTCTGGACTCACTGCCCATGGAGCAGTGTGTGTCACCAGCAGGGACCCTGCTGGCAGCTGTGACCCTCTGTCACTGCTGGCCTTGGCTGCGTCCAGGGAGCCTGGCTGGGGTGGTGGGACAGGACAATGTCCCTTCTTGGGGGGCTGCATACAATCTGGGCGTGCTGTGGTGGTCCTGTCTCTGTCATACCTCTCTGTGACACCTCTGCTCCCACTGTCCTGGGGCAGGCAGTGCCACCCTCTGCTCCCTGTATCCCCCCACAGCCATGCAGGGAGACCCCCCTGCCCTCCTGGCCCCCCACAGCTCTGTCTGTGCCCACAGGTGAGTCGGAGCTGCTGGCTCTGTCGGCCAAGGGTCGCCTAGTGTCCTGTGGCCTGTGCAGCCCTGAGGAGCCAGACGTGGAGCTGACACCTGCCGAGATCGGACGGAGGATCAAGGAGCTGCTGTCGGGGATAGGGGACACCTCAGAGAGGTAAAGGACTGCATGGGCATCGAGCTGGGGGTGGTTCAAGGCTCTGCCAGTAATTAATCATCAAATTATGAAATGGTTGGTTTAGGAGGGACCTTAAAGATTATCTCATCCCACCTCTGCTACAGCAGGGACACCTTCCACTTGTTCGGGTTGTTCCAAGTCCCATCCAACCTGGCCTGGAACATTTCCAGGGATGGAGCAGCCACAGCTTCTCTGGGCAACCCCTGCCATGGCTTCCATCAGCACCCTCACAGGGGAGAACTTCTTCCCAATATCCCATCTACCCCTGTCCTCTGGCAGTGGGAAGCCATTCCCCCTTGTCCTGTCTCTCCAGGCCCTTGTCCCAAGTCCCTCTGCAGCGCAGCTCTCTCTCCTTCAGGCATGGGAAGGGGCACTGAGATCTCCCCAGAGCCTTTGTTCCCCAGGCTGAACACCTCCAGCTCTCCCAGAGCTTTTTCTCCTGGAGAACTGCTCCAGCATTCACCTTTCCTGGCTGGGAAACCCCCCAGCCTTGATAACACAAACCCAGTGTGTGAGGGCAGCCCCTCCCCATGGCACAGCCACCCCAGCACCTCGAGCAGGTGGGAAGGGGCACTGAGATCTCCCCAGAGCCTTTGTTCCCCAGGCTGAACACCTCCAGCTCTCCCAGAGCTTTTTCTCCTGGAGAACTGCTCCAGCATTCACCTTTCCTGGCTGGGAAACCCCCCAGCCTTGATAACACAAACCCAGTGTGTGAGGGCAGCCCCTCCCCATGGCACAGCCACCCCAGCACCTCGAGCAGGCTGGCAGCAGCAGCCTGTGTGCCAGAAGGTGCCACAGGCAGTGTGCCAGGCGCCTGCCACGCGTGCCAAAGCGGCAGTAACAGGCAGGGCAGGCACGTGCCTCCATCCCCCGTGGCTGTCTGTGCATGGGGAGGGTGTGGGTGAGCCCCCCTCCCTTCACAGGGGCATTCCCAGGGTCTGGCTGGCTGGAGTTGCTCCGTGGGGTTGGCCCTGGTGAGGACATGGATCCAGGGCTGCTGTGGTGGAGCAGCTGAGGGTGACTCTGGGGAATCATCACGAGCTGCTCGGCTCAGCAGTGACGGCACAGCCTTTGGCAGTGCCCTCCTGGTGCTGTCCCAGTGTCCCTCCTGCTGTCTCATCTGTCCCGTTGTCCTTGCAGAGTGTCCTTCCTGAAGAAGGCTGTGGACCAGAGGAACCGAGCCCTGGCCAGCCTGAACCAGGTGATGAACGTCAGTGCAGCACTGCTGTCCAGCCAGGAGGGCCAGAAACCCATCGCCTGCACCGTCACTGCCAACTGGAGCTGCCTCCTGCTCCAGGACACCGTCACCATCTCCTGCCTGCTGGAGAACTGCAGCGAGTACAGCCTGGAGGAGGGCTGGACCCTCTGTGTCCAGCTCCTGGCCAGCCCCTGTGCCTTAGAGGAGGAATCCATGGATTCGGCCACCACCTTCACATTCCCCATCGACCAGCTGCTCCCCGGGAACAAGCGGGAGCTGACGCTGCCCCTCGACCCCACGGCGGACACCAAGCTGGACGTGCCCCTGACCATCTCCTGTGCCCTCTACTACAGTTTAAGGGACATTCTGGGCAGTGGCTCCGACTCCGAGGATGACCTGGATGACTTCCTGCCCGACGACTCTCCGCTCCTGTCCCCGGACAGAGAGGGGATCTGTCTCCCCCTCAGCCAGTGCACCATTGACATGCTCCAGTGCCTCCATTTTGGGAGCAGCCCCCCTGGGCCAGATGCCCCCCCTGCCCCCTCTGACCCTGTGGAGACCTTCCTCAAAGTGTCCCAGGAACAGACTGAGCCCGAGGAAGGGAAACCCTCGGGAGAGGAAAACCTGCCCCCCTCGGCAGCCTCCATCCGCGTGTCCTCGGAGCTGCTGAGAAACGCCCTGAAAACCTCGGAAACAGGTGGGTCTCTGCACAGGAGCACCAGGGGGTGTCCTGGGGCAGGGGTGCTGGCAGGGTGGCACTGTCACAGCCTGTGTGTGTGTGCTGCAGTGCTCACCTCCCCCTTCCTAGGGTGAGGAGGGCTGTGTGACCCCACTGTCACCACCACAGCACGTGTCTGCTCGCTGTGTCCCAGCATGGAGGGGCACAGCCCCCACGTCACCCCTGGCCCCTCAGGTGCTGCCCTGGGTACGTGCTGTCAGCAGTGTCACATCTCTGCCCTGTCCTTTGGTCCCCAGATGTCCCCCTGACCTGTGCCACGCTGCGCTGGCTGCTGGCAGAGAACCCTGGGGCCGAGGCACTGAGCAGCACGGAGGTGGCATCGGCACGTGGCACCGCACCGGACGGTGGCCACGTCCAGCTGCTCGTCACAGAGGCAAGGAATGGGTTAGCCCTGAGCCAGGGAGTGGGTTAGCTTGCAGGGAAACTCCCTATCCCAAAAAGCCAGCTCCTTCCCAGTGCCAAGGAGGAGGGTGATGGCATGGCCATGCCATCTTGACCCCTAGCTGTGGGGCTGGGGCTCCTGTGCTGGGCTGAATGAGCAGTATTCCCATCCCATCTCCCAGCCCTGAGCTTCCCAAAGGCTGTGGTCGCTTCCCTCCCTCTCCATGTGGGTGTCCCACCACCCCAGATATTCTTATTTCCCTGCCAGGCAGGGCAGTATCCCTGTAGATGCCTTGGACACTCATCATGCCCCAGCCTGGCATGGGGCTGGGCTGTGGGAAACAATGGTCTTCCCCTGCTGGCTCTGGAAAACGAGGGGAAAATGGAGCTGGATTTGGTCCCCAGGCACCTGGTGCAAGTGGTTTCATGCCTAAGAGCTCTGATGTCCCCAGGGGTGATTAGTGACAGTGTTAATTCTGCCGGGGCTGAGCCTGCTGGGCTGGGGGCAGCTGCCCCAAGGAAGGGCTGGGCCTGGGGTCTCTGTGCCCAGCTGGGCGGCTTAGGGGTGCAGGGAGCCTCCTGGGGTGCCCTGTGCCCATAGGGAGGAGTCCTAGTCCAGCAAGGGTGACAGTGACACTGCTCTCACTGTCCAGGTGGCCATGAATGACCTGAGCCCAGCAGGTCCCATCCAGGCCGTGGAGATCCTGATGGAGAGCCCATCCCTGGCCCACATGTGCAGGACACACCACGCCGTCATCCGGCGCATCCAGGTACACCTGACTGCATCCCGGGAGACCCCAGGT